TGATGCAGTTCCCAGTCAAAATTAGCAGCTAAGGACAGGAGAACCCTAATCGAGTTCATCTTAGCCACCGGGGCAAAAGTCTCATCATAGTCAACCCCATGTACTTGTGTGTACCCTTTGGGTACTAGTCTTGCTTTGTACCTTTCAACTGTTCCATCTGCCTTGTGCTTAACTGTGTACACCCATCTGTACCCCACGGGGTCTTTCCCCTCTGGAGGATCCACCAATTCCCAAGTCTAATTTTTGTGGAGGGCATTAATCTCCTCCTTCATGGCATCTACCCATTCAGGGCATTTTAAGGCTTCTGTAACATTTTTGGGAGTAGGGATGCAATCAACTACCGATAAGAAGGCTTGGTACGAGGGAGAAATGTGGTCATAGGAGACAAAGTGGGTAATGGGGTGTTTGGTAGTGTAGGACCTGACTCCCTTTCGTTGGGCAATAGGGATGTCAAGGTCATCCACAGTAGGAGTAGGGTTAGGGGATGGACTTACCTCCTGGGAGTCTGATGATGTCGGTTGCTCAGTGTTTGGCTGCTCCACATTTCTATCACCCCGCTGATCTCTCCGACGTGTACGTTGGAAGACACGGAAGGGAGTAAGGTCCGAAATAGAAAGAAGAGATACTTGAACCTGCTTCTCCTCTTCCACACTACGACTCTCCCTCTGAGGAGGAGGGAAGAATGGCTCGGATTCAAAGCACCGATACCCTTTACGACTAACTGGGTCAAAGCACCGATACCCTTTTTGAGAGGAGGGGTACCCCAGAAAAACACAAGGAATGGACCGAGGGTCTAACTTATCTCGGGATGGAGACAAATCATGGACAAAGGCCCGACAACCAAAGACTCTCATGGGGATGGAAAATAAAGGAGACTGAGGGTATAACAACTGATGAGGGGCCATGTAGTTCAGTACTCTGGAGGGCATGCGGTTGAAGACATACGCAACTGCAAGTATAGCATCCACCCAAAACCTCTTTGGGACATTCATGTGTAACATCATCYCGCAAGCTACCTCAAGAAGATGTCTGTTTTTCCTTTCTGCAACACCATTTTGTTGTGGTGTTCTGGCGCTTGAGCTCCTATGAATAGATCCGTGGGAGGCGAAGAACTCATTGAGCTCCTTATGGAAGTACTCCTTCGCATTATCAGATTGGAAGATCTGTATTTCAACATGGAACTGTGTAAACACCATCCTCTGGAAGTCTTTCACTATCTTCGGAACCTCGTCTCTGCTACGCATAGGAATCACCCATGTATAGCGAGAGTAATCATCGATCAATGTAATAAAGTACTTATATCCGCCCTCAGAGATTACATTGGTAGGCCCCCATACATCAGAATACACAACATGAAAA